TTTTTTTTGCTCATAAAGAAGCACAATAGATGTTTGACGTAATGTCTGAAGGGACTCTGAAGACGCAAAACCGATGAACACCAAAATACAGCTTGCCAAAAATTACAACCGCACAAGTTGTTGTTGTAGTCATAAACAATGTTTATGACATCAGTTTGACATTTTAGAATACCATCATGAGCTTTAGTCATAAACAAGGACAATTTCACAAACTATACTTTAACACGCAACTTGATAGACATGTGTGATTCTAGAGGTTGGTTGTTGCTATACATTTACTTGGTTGTTTATAAACACACAACATGTATGGTGAACTAGTTGTGTCTTATTGATAAACAAATTGGCCTATCTATTGTTTAATGTATCGTCGTAGTGGAGTTCATGTAAAAGCTTAGCATCAAAATGGATGAAGGAAAACAAGTCATGATAAAGAATGAAAGATCCTTGTTCATTTTTAAATATGAGATTCACTATTTCATTGATATGTTTTCTGCGTAGCTGCTACATTGTGTAGATACAGGTGGCGATGATCCAACGGTCCTAAACAATGGAGTAGATGAAACCATAGTAATTGTTCTGACATCAACTTGAAAGACCATTATTTTGTTCTTATCTGTATGTGATGGTTGGTGTTTATGTTTTTTTTGTATGCAAATGCAGGTACAGGTGCATGGCACAATATTATAATTGTTTTATCAAGTTCATTTGTGATTTTTCAGATCCTTCAATGGTATGTGTTATTGTGCAAAATGAGTTGTTTTTTTTATTGTTTGTTCTTTACAAGCTGTTAGCAAGTGTTATTTTCGTAAGTATGAGGTCTTTTAATGTTTGTTTTCGCAATAGGTGTTGAGTGAAATTTCGTAAGATGAATACCGTGATATTGTACCTCTAAGGTGCACTCTGACTATCAAAGAAGGTTGTGTTTATGAAGTAGTTGTGAAGTACTTGGATAACAAACTCCAATTTGTGGATGATTGCGGGAGGATTTCATTCACAAAGAAAGAGTTAGGAATGAATTTACTGTTCACTTTGAACGCATCAATGCATCAAGCTTTAACCTATCTTTATGGACGAGAGCTGATGTGGAAAGAGCGCCGCAATATCGACGCTTCAGCTAAAGAAAACTCATATTGAACGTGCTCGCCTGGTAATTGTATGTTTTAATTTGTCTAGTTTCATCATGGAATTGTTGTGGTAAATGATCTTTAACAAAATTAATAATATTGCATTTTGTATAGTACATTCCCATGGTGTTCTGGAATATGCACATCAAAGATCAAAGGTGTTTTAAAAAGAAAGCGTATATTTTTACTGAACAGTGTTTTTACCGTTTGGATGTAACTAAAGGCATGGTAAAAAGTTAATGGAATATGAGGATGCTCGTCAATTCATCGAACGTAATGGATTGATGAAAGGTTGTCCGTGTTCATTTGTGCTGCTAAGAGGAGATCAGCCAGTGTTTAGGATTATTCTGTAGTTGTTGTGACCGATATAAACTATTTTGTCTTTGTAAACCAATGAATTATGCTGTAATTTTATTTGGTGTGTGTTCTGGATAGGAATATGTTTATTATATGCCATGGCAACTTTTGAATTATGTTGCATAATCCATTGAACATGTTAAAAATTAAGATTAATATGTTACATGATAAGATGAATAGTTTGTATAATAAGATGAACATGTTGCATATACTAAGATGAACATGTTGCATTATGTGATGAATATGTTGCATAATCCATTGAACATGTTAAAAATTAAGATGAACATGTTACATAATTAGATGAATATGTTATATAATAAAATGAATATGTTGCATAATATATTGAACATGTTAAAAATTAAGATGAACATGTTACATTACATAATAAGATGAATATGTTCTATAATAACGTGAATATGCTATATATTTAAGATGAATATGTTGCATATATAAGATGAACATGTTACAAAATAAGATGAATATGTTTTATAATAAGATGTATACGTTACATACATACATAAAAAGATGAACATGTTACATGTACTAAGATGAACATGTTGCATTATGAGATGAATATGTTGCATAATCTATTGAACATGTTAAAAATTAAGAGAAACATGTTACTTGATAAGATGAATATGTTGTATAATGAGATGAATATGTTGTATGATAACATGAATATGTTGCATAATCTATTGGACATGTAAAAATTTTGATGAAACATGTTATATAATATGATGAATATGTTATATAATAAGATGAAAGTAATGGATTGATGGAAGGTTGTTCGTATTCATTTGTTTTGTTTGCATTGATGCAATGTTATCCAGAATTAGAAGTCAGCATTTTGAAATGATATAGGTTAGTACATAATACTGTTGTCAATCTGTCACGAGACTCACGACGGGCTAAAAAAAACTGATAACTGAAAGAAGAGTAACCTTATGAAACAAGGGCATAGTTGCAGTTGTACCAGGTTAAAGAAGAGTGGCAAAACATGATTTTGTGGGTTTACATAGGACAAATCAGCTCTTACAATTTGGTATCTTCTTTATTCACACTGACTTACAAACGTGCGAATGTCTTCAATGCCCTTGTCCTGACTGCCATTTGGAATACAAAAGTCACTGTCGTTTCCAACTTCAGATTGTGATGGTTTGCTACTCATTGTTTTTAGATGACATGTGGTTGAATTATGCCCGAGGTCCCAGCAAGTAAAATATTACATAAAATTCAGTTCAAAAAAATTTAAGCTACTAAAAAATTTGAGTGTATATTTAACAATGTACTTACCCGCATGATTTGCATCTTTGTTTTTTTGTTGGCGGTGCCCCTCTAGATCTAACCCTACGTGGGTCGCCTTTATTAGTCGAACCTCTTGCCGGATCCTTAATATTATTTGATGCGTTTGGGAAATCATTAGTTGAGGTTCCTGTATTGGCTTATTCATTTCTCTCAAGGTTATCAATTGCACGTCTGACTTTCTTCACACACTTTTCTGTATCGGGCTCGTTCTCAGATACCTTGGAACACATCTCGACTGACTCTTTATACAGTTCGTGAAATCTTTTATTTTGTGGATCAACGGAAGTAGGCACATAGTAAAATCTCTGTCTAAGATGTTTTCCCGCTAAGGTCGTCCACCTATCAAGTATGCATTTGGTTGGCACCTTTCGAACATGCAAGTACTTGAATGCAGTAAATAGATGACTACATAGAATGCCATCTGTTTCCAGCATCTTGCAATCACACTTGAATATGCCTTCATTTATATTCACCTTGACCGACCATTCTCTTTTGGTGTTGGATCATAATTTTCCATTTGGAAGACATATGACTCTCCATCATCAGTCCTCTTCTCAATCACAATATTATTTTGCTCACAATTAACCTCCCTTCGAACTTTACTAAAAACTGAGCGTGTATAAAGTCCAGACAACTGAACAAGAATTTCGTGAAGTGGTGTGACTTACAGAATATCTTGTGGGTTCATCTCCGATTCTTTCTGCTTCTTGAAAAAAGTCGCCCGCAATGGCCCCACAATATTATGGAAGTTTTTAAGGAGCTCCGTAATAGTGCTGCCTGATTTTTCCCCTGCTTGAAGAGTGCATTCACGGATTCCGCTCTTTGGGTTGTTCTAGTCATCCCCATAAAATTCCCTCTAAGATAAGCGTCACACCATTGATGTTTCCTTTTATATGTATCTTTCACCCACGTATTGTCTGCCACACCATGTCTGTTTGTTTGTAATTCCCATTCAGATTCAAACTCATTGGGAGTCCAATTCTTCATTATAAACTTCTCAAATATTTTGCAGAAACCGTGGGCCTTCACTCGCTGTGCACAATTTCTCCCAAGATGCCACGCACACAGCCTATGTTTAGCTTCAGGGAACACCTTAACTATTGCAGAACGCATAGCATCGTCTTGATCCGTGACAACGGTGGCAGTCATCTTCGATTTCATTGCCGCTAAATTTTTTTTTAGCAACCACAGGTAGGATTCG